AAGATGGAGACTAATAATGGATATAGTAAATGAAGTAGAAAAAAATTGTTTATAACATTTAAAAATTAAATAATAAACAATTACAGTAAGTGTGCATTAGATTTTCATATTTTAGTACCTAACGATTGGAATCTAGAAATATCGCAAACCTATGAAAATAAACAAAATTGCTGACGAGGGGAATCGAACCTACGACCTACGGACTAACAGACTAACGCTCTAACCACTATGCTAACGACACATGCCTACAGTAAAGTATTAATATCTCAGTATCATTCAGACATACAATTATTGAGTCAAAGATGAGAAAAAAATAGGGATACGTTAGAAATAATAAATTGAAATCAAATAAATTAAACTAAATTTTTAATAATTAAATTAAATTACTTTACTTATTGCATTTAACATTTTACGTAATTCTTAAATTACGTGGTAATTTATTAATAATTTTTTATTCATAGTAAGAAGTATAATAGTATTTTAATAGGAACCAAATTATTATTGAGATTAAAGTTTAAATTTTGTTTATAATTTTAATTTGTTTAAATAATTTATTATTTACAAAATTAGACAATTGTGTTAAATTGTTATTATTAAATTTAATAAGAATAAAAAATGAACAACTGAAAAGTAAAATATTAATTTTTTTCAATAAATTTATATTTATAAACATTTATAAACTTTTTTTATAATTTTTTTCAAGTTTATGTCAAAAAAGCAATGTTGGCAAAGAGCGTTGTGAACAATTTTTCTATACTCAGCCAGCACTTGCCGCCGAGCCTTGTCCAAGCTTTGGCGAAACAAAAATTCTGTACTGCGCCAGCACTAATTGTCGAGGCTCGGCTAGACTACGCCGAACAATCGTCTGAGTACTAAGCCAGTGGTGAACATCGGCACTACACTGGCATTTCCCATTGGGAAGTAATTAGATTCAATCATTCAATCAAACGTACTCATAACCATAAAAAACAAGGTTAAGTTTGACAGTTTAGTGCTTAAACCGTTTTAAATCGTTTAATTTTCAGTTATAAGAGTACTATTATTTCAAAAAATCGAATTATAAATTAAAGTAATTAACATACTTAAAATATCCAGGCCCAAACATCTTTTTTGTAGACTTATTTCCTGAGCGAATTTACACAACAAATTTGAATTTTTTTTTTTTAATTGATTTTTTGCAGAATCTGTTTATTGCTTTAATTTTTGTGCTTTATGAATATCATGTTGGAGATACAGGAAATGTAATGTTCAGAAGTATTCAACTTAAAAATTTTGAAGTAAAGCTTTATTTCCTACTTTTTCATACTACTTGTTCAATATGAAAATTATTCACTTGTGTTTTAAATATAATTTCTACTGAAAGTTACCAATGAATTTGCTGCAAATAAATTTTAAATTAAAGTTTACCATTTATATTAACCAAAACAATTGTAAATCTTAAATATTTCTGTCTAAAAAGTATGTTAATCGAATTTTAAAAAATAGACATCGGTTGAGCGAATTTACCCTACATGAGCGAATTTAGCCTCACTTACGGTATTGTTTACTGTAATATTTTTTTTTGTTTACTGTAATAAAATTTAAAAAATCGAGTTTAGACTTATTAAAATTTCTAAAAAATCATCGTTTTAAAAAATTCAAAAATTTGATTAAAATTTGTTTTATATTTTTCAAAAATTAAATTATGTTTAACAGATTTTATTAAATTTAAATTGTTTGGGAATAATTCAATTACTTAAAAAATTTTAATTAAAATTATTCTAAAAAATACATTCTTTACAAAAACTGTAATAAAATTGTTTAAAAGAGTTTAGTTTTTTATAAAGTTCAATTATTTTTTAGAATTCTAATATTCCTGGCAAGAATTCAATTATTTTTAAAAATTCCATCAAATTCTTGTCAAGAATTCAATTATAATTACAAAAATAACAATTTTTAGTAGAATTTTAATTCTTTAAAATATTTTTATAACGTTCTTGTCAAGAATTCAATTATTTTCAAAAATAACAAACTTTTTCTCAAAAATTCAATTATTTTCAAAAAATTTCATAAAATTCTTCGTAGAAATTCAATTATTTTCAAAAATTCCATCAAATTTTTTTCAAGAATTCATAATTATTTACAAAAATAACAATTTTTAGTAGAATTTCAATAATTTTCATTTTTATAAAATTCTTGTCAAGAATTCAATTATTTTCAAAAATAACAAAATTTTTCTCAGAAATTCAATTAATTTAGAAAGTTTTCATAATGTTCTTGGCAAGAATTAAATTATCTTTATAAATAACAAAATTCTTCAGAAAAATTCAATTATTTTCATAAATAACAAAATTCTTCCCAGAAATTCAATTATTTTCGAAAGTAACAAAATTTTTCTCAGAAATTCAATTATTTTCAAAAATTCCATCAAATTCTTGTCAAGAATTCAATTATTTTCAAAAATAACAAACTTTATCTCAGAAATTTAATTATTTTCAAAAGTTTTCATAAAATTCTTCGTAGAAATTCAATTATTTTTAAAAATTCCATCAAATTCTTGTCAAGAATTCAATTATTTACAAAAATAACAATTTTTAGTAGAATTTCAATTATTTTAAATTTAAATATTTTTATAAAATTCTTGTCAAGAATTAAATTATTTTCAAAAATAATATAATTTGTAGCAGAAATTCAATTATTTTTAAAACTTTTAATAAAAATCTTTTCAAGAATTAAATTATCTTTATAAATAACAAAATTCTACAGAAAAATTCAATTATTTTCATAAATACTTAACAAAATTCTTCCCAGAAATTTAATTATTTTTAAAAGTAACAAAATTTTACTCAGAAATTCAATTGTTTACAACAAATTTTATAATATTCTTCGCAGAAATTCAATTATGTGTTCAAAAATTAAAAAAAAAATTCTTGTCAAAAATTTGAATTATCTTTACTATAAATAACAAAATTCTTCAGATAAATTCAATTATTTTCAAAAATTAAATTGTGTTTAAAAGATTTTATCAAATTTAAATTGTTTGGAAATTTTTCAATTGTAAAAAATTAACATTAAAAACATGGATAGTTATAATTATTATAAAAAATTGAATTTTTCTATTGAAATAATTGTATTCTTCAAAGAACTTTCGTAAAATTATTTTAAAATAATTGATTTAGAGATAAAGTTAAGTTGAAAATTGTAGAAAATAATTGAATTCATGAAGGGTTATAATGGTAATTTTTAGAAATTATTAAATTTCATAAATTTTACACATTTTCCATAAACTTTCAAATTCTTCTAGAAAAAGAATTTTGTCATGGAAAATAATTTTAATGTTAGTAATTTGTCAGGGAAATTGATAAAAACTGAAACGTGTAACCACTTAAACTGGATTCGTTTTTAAGACAAAAATGAAATTAATACAAAAAAGGATGAATCAAAAGTGTTACGAAGAAATGTTTTGATTCGTTGAAAAAAATCAAATTGAGACAAAAAAAAATCAAGTGTTGCGAAGCAATGTTTCGATTTGTTTTTGAGAGAAAAATTGAAAAAGTAATCAAATTGAGACGAAAAACTAATTAAAAGTGTTGCTTTGCAACACTTTTGATTAGATTTTCGTCTCAATTTGTCATTCTTAGAATCTTAGAAAAATTGTGTTGATACATATTTTTTAATTTAAATTCAGGGTGTCTACTAACCGGGAAATAACCGGGAATTTCATTTGACCGGGAAAAACCGGGAATTAGCCGGGAATTTTACACCAAACCGGGAATTTTTTCACCAAAGTTAAAAAGTTTTATTATTTTAATTTGTTTTTAAAAAATCACTTTTTATTTCAATTTTTATAAATATTTATACTGTTCTCTAAATTTAAGTTAGTTAAAAATAATTAATTTGATAGTAAAAACTCAGTCACCAATTCAAACATATTATGTAAATAAATTTTTAAAAAATTATGGAGTTAATAGAAATATTGTGAAATTCGACTGACAATATGTAATTAAATTTGTTAAAGAACTTCATAAGAAACTTTTTAACAAATAGAATTTTCAAAGTATTTTAATTTAATAATTCATTAATAATTGAATATTATAAAGAGTTAAATTTTAATGTATATTCATGTTTCTTACTGCGAAGATTAATAATTAAAATTTTTATTAGTTAATTTAAAAAAATATACATACTTAAAATTGTTATAAAATTGAACATTCGCAAATATTTTTTTAAATCTGAAAAATAAGATTGTTGTAATTTTTCAATTCTATTGTTTCAAGATAATTGAATTTTTATAAACAAATAATTGAAATTTTTTGAAGTAATTGAAACTTCTTTGCTTTTTTTTTGAAAAATAATTGAATTCTTTTAAAGAATTTTATTTGAATTTTTCGAAAATAATCAAGGGAAGTTAGTGACCGTAATTATAATTTTATTTTTAAAATTTAATGTCGCTCTTACAGTTTTAAATTAATTTTTTGCTTCTAAAAATTATATTATTCTATTATTATTCAATAATTATAATTATTAAACTTCTCTTTAATTTTTATCATTTCAAATTTCTGAATGTTCAAATAAATGATATTTATTTATTTCTTGAGCAAATTAAATGTTTATTACATATTACATCTTTGGAAGGATTCAATTATTTTTATAAATAGTAAAATTCTTTGCAGAAGTTCAATTATTATCAATATAATTTTAATAATATTGAAAAATCAAATTTTCAATTATAATTTTATAAAGAGACAATATTATTTTTAAAAACTTGAAAAAATTCTGTGTTTAATTCAATTATTTTCCAAATTTTCAATTAAAATTATTGAAAAAAACATTATTTTCAAAAAATTCAAAGATTTATTTATGTTTGAAATCAAATTTAAATTTAAATTTGATGAGAAAAAAAACCGGGGAAAAACCGGGAAATAACCGGGAATTTTGTTAAACGAAAATAGTAGACACCCTGAATTTAAAATAATACATAAAGAGAAGAAAACTTCTGATTGAATCAAAATATGTTTTAGGTGAAAGCAGATGGCACATCCAGTCATGAAGACCAAGAAATTTTTCATCTTCAATAAAAAACTACTTTAGGAGAGGAAACGTTCAAAGTAATTGACCCACGAGGAAAGTTGCGATGAAATTCTCAATGGAAGTCAATTTGCTATGAAGCGTGGAAGAGGACGCGTCGCGCGTGTGTGATTGTGTGTGTGTGCTTTTGTTTTTTTTTTTCTTCTCTTTTTCTCCGTCGCCTTGTTTCTTCTTATTGAAGAATCTATGTGGCGCGTGGGCAGACGCATGTGCATGTGCATGCCAGTGCATCAATGTAATCAAGTGATTAGAGTAGTGGTTTATCGACGATTCAATGCCGGAGAGAAACTGTATCAATCGAAACACGTCAAAAACCGCGTGTGTGGAAGGCAGCGGTTAAATTTCTCATCGTCGTCAGACGACGTCTTAATCTTGAGAACGTTTCAGTGTTGATGATGATGATGATGTTGATGCGCTCAAGAATCAATACTTGAGTTTTATTAATTGTTATTATTGTGATGGATCAATTCTGACACTGGAATAAATAAAGAAATTAAAAAGAAAAAGAAGAAGAAGAAGAAGAGACAGAGAGAAAAAAAAAATTGCAGTTATTAGGATCAAAAGTCTTTGCAGCAAGTCAGGATCCATGAGAGCAGAAAATGAAAACGAAGAAGCAACCATTCATTGTTCTGTGTGTCCTTTTGACCTCGTGTGTCATCTCAGTGGAGAACTTGCCTGATAAGAGCGAGCTTAAACCTCTCACCAATCAGGATATATTCTCGTCAAAGGAAAATGAGGACTTGGATTTTTCTAATGAACTTAAAAATGCCTTTCACGATTTCAATGAAAGAGATGACGAGATTCGAAACAAAGATTATTTTAACAAGGGAACACTCATTCGCAAATATAAGCGGGCCATCGATTCTTCAAGGTACACACACATTTCTTTTTTTTTTCATTTTACCTCAATTTTTTTTTGCATTTTTTATTTTTCGATTCTGGAAAGACGGAATTACGGAGATTTTTTTATTTTTTTTTTTTTGAGGTCGAAAGGATTTTCCGAGATTTGATGAGAGGATTTGTCAAAAGATTGAAAGGATTTTCATCGCTTTTAAACAGATTTACTTTTTTTAGAATAACATTACACCGGGAAAATATTTTGATTTTGGAATTTATTGGACGAAGTTGAAGTCCACAACGTTGATCAACGAAAAAAATTTATTTAATGCAATCAAGTATTATTTTTAATTTAATATTTAATTGTAAAATAATTATTATCAAAACATAAGCATCAATCTTTTTTTTCTAAATATTTTTGTGTCTATATTGCTGCGTAATTTTTAATTAATTTACTTAGTGAACAATTTTTTTTTCGTTGATCAACGTTGTGGACTTTAACTTGGTATTTATTGGATTGATAGGGAATTTAAAGGTTCATTTCATTTTTCGATTAAATTTTAGTTTAGATTGTTAAAAAAACTGTGATTAGAAATTTCAAATTTTTAGTTAATTCTTTATTTTTATTATTTTTTTATTTATTTATTATTATTATTATTATTAGGTATTATTACTATTATCATTTTTATTATTACTAGCAAATTATTTTAAACAATTTATTATTATTATGCAAATCACAAAATTTTTTTTTAAATATAAATTTTTGGAAAATTTAATAACCAAACATTTAAAAATTCACTTATTAAGTATACATAATAAATTATTATTCTTCGGGAGAATTCAATTATTGACAACTAAATTTTAATAAAATTAAACAAAGAATTCAATTCTTTTCTTAAATTTAAATAAATTCTTGGAAATAATTAAATTATTTTATTAAATAGTAAAATCTTTGCAAAAATTAAATAATTTTCAATAAAATTTCCTAGGAAAAATTCAATTTTTTTCTCAATTCGTTCGAAAATTTTTCAAAAGAATTCAATTATTCTCTAAAATTTTAACAAATTCTTCAAAACAATTCAATTATTTTTTACACAATTTTAATAATATTTCATGAAAGAATTCAATTTAAAAAAATTTTTAATAATATTTTTCAAAACAATATTCAATTATTTACTAAAATTTTAATAAATCCTTTGAAACAATTCAATTATTAACAACTAAATTTTTAATAAAATTGCACAAAGAATTCAATTCTTTTCTTAAATTTTAATAAATCCTTAGAAGCAATTCAATTATTTTTTAAATAGTAAAATCTTTGCAAAAATTTAATTATTTTCAATAAAATTTCGCGACAAAATTCAATTTTTTTTTTAATTCGTTGTAATTTTTTTTCAAAAGAATTCAGTTATTTTGTAAATTTTAATAAATTCTTCAAAAAAAATTCAATTATTTTTTTTATAAGTAGAAAAAATTCTTTGCGAAAATTCGATTATTTTTAATAGAATTTTAATAAAATTTTATGAAAGAATTCAAGTTTTTTTAATTTTTAATAATATTTTTCGATAAAATTCAATTATTTACTAAAATTTTTAAAAATCTTTTGAAACAATTCAATTATTTTTATAAATATGTAGTAAAATTTATTCCAAAAATTTAAATTAGTTTTATAAAAAATAAAATTTTTTTCTGGCATTAAACTATTTTCAATACAATTTTAGTAAACTTCAATAATTAAATATTTAATTATAATTATTAATAGACACGGTTATATTAAAAAGTTAAAAAAATTCTTTGTTTAATTCAATTATTTAAAAAAAATTTTAATTAAAATTATTCTAAAAAAATACATTATTTACAAAAACTCTAATGAAATATTGTTTAAAGGAGTTTAGTTTTTTATAAAGTTAAATTATTTTTTAGAATTTTATTATAATTCCTGTCAAGAATTCAATTATTTTGAAAAATTCCATCAAATTCTTGTCAAGAATTCAATTATTTTCAAAAATTACATCAAATTCTTGTCAAGAATTCAATTATTTACAAAAATAACAATTTTTATTAGAATTTCAATTATTTTCAATATTTTCATGAAATTCTTGTCAAGAATTCAATGATTTTCAAAAATAACAGAATTTGTCGCTGAAATTCAATTATTTTCAAATTTTTTTTATAAAAATCTTTGCGGAAATTCAATTATTTTCAACAATTCTCATTAAATTCCTCGAAAAACCCCGATTATAATAATTTATAGTAGTACAAATTTTAATAAAATTCTACAATTTATTAAATGTTTAATTTAAATTATTAAGAAAAAGGATTATTTTAAAAACTTGAAAGAAATTGTTCATTAAATTCAATTATTTTAAAAATGTTCAATTAAAATTATTAATGAAATTTCATTATTTAAAAAAAAATTCAAAGAAATTCATTAATTTTAAATTTTATTTTAAACGCTTTTTATTATTTTATTTATTAAAGTTCAGAGAGTTTATAATAAACTGTTTAGAAGGAAACAGATTTTTTTTACTCAAATTTACTTTTTTTCTAAAACTTTGAATGTTTAAATAAATTAAATCTTTTTCAAGTTTAAATTAATTTTTTAAAATTACTGCAATAAACTGACAAATGTAAATTCAAAATTTTTTTTAAATTAATGTTTTTAAATTAAGGCAAAAAATGACAAATGTAAATGCAACATTTAGAGATTGTATAATTTACTAGCATTAGATTTTTTAATACGTATTTAATAAACAAAAATAAAAAATATTTTAAATTTGTAATTCTCTAGTTTCATACAAATTTAATAAAGTTTTTTAAAATACAATTTAGAGGAAACACAGAGAAAAGCGAGTGTTGTTTTTGATGCGGGTAAATTTTGGTAGGGTAATTTTAGTGAGGATAAATTTTCTATAATAGAAAATTTACCTTATTTTCAGTGTTAAAATAACACTTCCGAGCTAAAGTTTGATGCAGACACTTTTAACACCGAATTCAGTGTTAAAATAACACTCACTTTTTTCTGTGAATAAGAATTTTCTATGCAATTAAATTTTTTCTAGAATTTTGAACGATCAAATGAATGAAATTTTTTTCAAAATTAAATATTTTCTAGAATTACTGTAATAAAATGAAAAATGTCAATTAAAAAAGTATTGTAACCTATTTTTAGTTTTTGATAAACAGAAATGAAAAATATTTTTATATTGCAATTCTTTAATTGATACAAGATCATTTCATTTTTTATTTGAATTCAATTTTAGTTTTTCAAATTTTTAGTTAATTTTTTTGTTTATCGAAAACTTTATGAAGTTTATAATTGCAACAATTGAGAAGAAAATGATTTTTACAGTCAACATTCGAAACTTTTGTGATAAATTTCTTTTAAATTTGAGAGTAAAAAAATTTTTTCATTCTTCCTTGATCATCAATTTAAGGGAGAAAAATGACCTCTCGGAAATGCATTAGCTTTGGCTCTGAATCGATTTTCCTGTAACTTTATAACATTTTTTTTACTTTTTTTCTTAGTCTGAAAAAAACTACAAAATCCAAAAGTTAAAAAAAAATTATCGACTGACTGCCAAATCTGAAGCATTTCCTGTAAAGTTCTTTGTAAACAAAAAATTCTAGTCTTTTCCACGTGAAATTTTTTTTCTTTTTTATTCTTTTCTTTTTCAATTTTTTTTTTTTTTTGAAATTACTAAAGTTTGTTTCTAAAAAACGTTGGTGAAGTTCACAACGTTTATAATCAATGATTTAGAAGAAAAAATATTTTCTATTCAAATTTTTACATATTTTTCCACAAAAACACTTTCGTGAATATTTTCATCAATAATTTGAAATAGAAAAATTTCTGAACAAAACAATTTATTGTTTTTGTCAAGAACAATATATTTTATTTCTTTCAATCGTTGATAATAAACGTTGTAAACTTCACCGTAGTTCTAAAAAATGAAAAGAGTGGAAAAAACGAATAAATATTTTTTTTCTGTATAAAGAAAGAAAAACAAGAAAAAACTCTGTCATGTCTTATCTATTTGTTTAATTGACATAAAATTTAGATTAACTTGTTCGTGACCCAGTTGAGTCTCAAATTATTCTCGAATTAAGAATTAACTGAAAATTCTAAAAATAAATGAATTTAGAAAAAGAATTTTGTATATTCAGCTAAATAGGAAAATTTTTTTTTCTTTTTCCTATATTAATTTTGATATTACGCTTGCTCGTGATAAATTTTCCTCGCAAGGCCTCGCAAAATGATTAGAAAATATATAACGGAGTTTATTGGAAAATAAATAAACTTTTATTTATCTTCTGAACCATTAGTTCTCTTAAATGTAGTTTAATGTCAAGTTTGTGAAATAGATTTATTTCCCATAAGTTGCTCTCTCTAAAATAATTCTCGCCAAGAATTCATCGATCGGGAAATCCTGTAATAAATATTGGTCAACTTTTGAAACTACAAATCATTGGAGAAATTTTAAAAAAGGAAATGCATTTAGTAACAAATTTTCGACATAATGTATAAATTTATTAAAAAAAGTTCTATATTTAATTTCGTTAATTAAATTTTTAATTTCATAAATTAAAAGTTATTAATTTCACACGGGGGTGAAGTTCACAACGTTTATGATCCAATGAGACTGGAAGAAAAAAATATTTTTCACACAGTTCTGAACTTTGAAATGAAGGAAATTTTTTTTTTATTTCTTCTTCAAACTAAATTTTAATTACAATAATTTTATTTAACATTAGAGAAAAATCTATCTTATATATATTAATAATAGTTGTACATTCTTGTAATCTGTTCGAAGTTTGAAATTAGTTCTTGCTTGTTTTTTTGTTTCCTAACTTTTTTAATAATATTTCCTTTCAAATTTGAATTTTAAATCTTTTAAATTAATGTATTGAAAATTTCTTACGAAGAATTTTATAAAAAAAAAAATGTGAAAATAAATAAATAATTCAATTTTTTCGAAGAATTTTATCAAAATTTTTGAAAATAATTGAATTTTTTCGGGAAATTTTATTAAT